TATCCAATGAGGCCAGTTAAGAAATTTTCTTTAAAGTTACATGTTAAAAATATACCATTATTTTGTAATTAACATATAACTAAATTCGATTTTTTAAATGCCAAAGGTTGAAAAACATAATTATTTGTCAATAGCATAATCAGCTACTTTGAAAGTTGAATGTATTATTGTGATTTCTGTATCTTTCTTTCTTTCATTCATTCATTCTTTTTATAGCTCCCTCATATGAGTGAGGACATGCGGTATTTCTCTTTCTGTGCCAGGCTTATTTCACTTAACATGATTTTCTCTAATTTCATCCATGTTTCTCTGAATGGCAGTATTTCTTTCTTTTTCATGGCAGAGTAGTATTCCATTGTGTAAATATACCACATTGTCCTTATCTGGTCATCAGACAATGGACATTTAGGTTGGTTCCAACTAGTGGCTATTGTAAATAGAGCTGCAGTAACCATGGGAGTGCATGTGTTACTTCGACGTGATGATGTCCATTCTTTGGGTACATACCCAACAGTGGAACTGCTGGATCGTAAGGCAGTTCTGTCTGTAGTTGCTTGAGAAATTCCCTGTCATTTTCCTTAATGGCTGTACCAATTTACAGTCCCACCAACAGTGGCTCCCCTCTCTCTGCATCCTCACCAGCATTTGTTAATCTCTGTCTTTTTGATAATGTCGAGTCTAACTGGGGTGAGATAACTTACTGTGGTTTTCATTTGCCTTTGCCAGATCCTGAGTGATGTTGAGCATTACTTTCATGTGTCTGTTGAGCATTTGTATAGCTATGTCTTTTGAGAAATGCCTATTCAAATCCTTTGTCCATTTTTTAATCGGGTTATTTGATTTTTACTACGTTATCTGAGTTCCTTGTATATTCTGCATATAAATCCATTGTTGAATGCTTAGTTTGTAAAAATTTTCTCCAATTGTGTAGGTTGTCTTTTCACTGTGTTAATTGTTTTGTTCACTGTGCAGAAGCTTTGTAGTTTGGTGTACTCTCATTTGTTTATTTTTCCTTTTGTTGCCTGAGCTTTGGGGATCCTATTCCTAAAGTCTTCTCCCAGTCCTACTTCCAGAAGTATTTCCCCTATATTTTCTTTTAGGGGTTTTATAGGTTCAGGACATATATTTAAGTATTCGGTCTATCTTGAGTTGATTATGGAATACGGCAAATGGTATGGGTCTAGGTTCATTCTAAAGTGTGTTGTTTAGACTCTCTTTACCTGTATTTAAAAAGATAAAAAAAAAGATTCTCCTTGAAATACCAAGAGTAGCTTCTTTTTCAGTGTATAAATCCCAACAAATGTCATAGCTTATACTCGTCAGATGCTATGATCTCTGTCCTTCATAAAATTGGGAGAGACATTGTCATGACTGTGCTGCTGGGGCTGAGGAGAAAAAAAGAGGGTTAGGGTTCACAGGAGCCTCCCTGGCCCCTTCTACCAAAACCTTGCAGTGACCCACAGAGCATGGCTGCATCTGAGAAAAGCTCTCATCAGATGGAGGCACCAGGAGGAGCAGCTGGGGCAGCCCAGCCTCACACTTCTGCTTCCCTGGGGGGTTTATGATCGGGCTTGTAACACTGTGAGAGGATAAGCACCACTATGCTG